AAATGATTAACCCATCTGTGTGGTCCTTGTATGGACCCCTACAACATGCAACAAATCGTTTTGAAAAAGCTCACCACGGCCTGAACGACCTCCCTTGTCAGACCGCCTATATACGCGCTGAGCACGTGAGTGCCCTTTGCGCGGATCCTGAGACGAAATACAGTACTAAGTGAGTTTCGAAATGCGGAATAACAACAGTAAGGGAAACAGAGTAAGTTTGCGATTAACTATAACAGCAAAAATAAATGTATGTATGTATCTACATAACACAATACTTGCCATCTTATTCTGCTGCTCTATGTTGCAACTCCATATTTTTGCTGATTTCAGTCGTCCGATGACGACAGCGAATCGGTCGGCAGTGTCGCTTCCGAGGAATTCATGGAAACTGAAGACGAAGTTCTTGTTCTCGATTTCGATACAACAACTAGTATGAAAAAAGTGAGTACACCTAGCACTGTACTTGTCTACCGTTTTGGACGCTTATCGGATATATCATGCATTTTAAGATGATATCACAATTCACTTGCGACTATCGCAATATCGTCTCCGAGTTCGCCGACGTTGAAATTTTTATCATTTCACTAGATAGTTTAATTGTTGAATGTCTTGCACATTCGTACCATGACTGGACGTTGGCTGGACAGTCTATCGTTCTTACTACCCAGGTAATTTGTTTCCATTCAACTATGTAAGATTTTGGCGGGTTGCTGCGAACTCCTCTGATTTATTTTTCAGATCGATAAGTTCCTACAGCAATTCGTAAATTTTGGTGGAAAATTCAAATTAGTAGTGTTCACTGACTTTGCGTCCTCAGTTCGCACGAGACACTACCCTAGGTTTCGCTCGTGCCACAGCAATCGCACACGTTTCCACTGGACCCTTCGCAAAGGTACGTCGTTCGGAGGTTGTTTTGGTGTTCACGTAATTCGGATGGTCTACTTTGCTATACGCCGCGCCTGCACGCTGGTCACAGCAAGTCCTGAAAAACACAATTTCAGGAGCTTAAGACAAATGAAGCATCCATTGCCGTAAGCAAATAAAATGGTGGCGCTAACGAAGATCGCAGGGGCATGTCACGCAGCGGCC